TTGATAGGAAACAGGGTTGATTATAATACAAAAAGAAGTAAAGATATACACCGACAGATAGTAGCATTGGAACCAAGTCTACTCCGTGGACATATCATGGATGTATATATCAAGCGGAAATATCCACTATCTGAAAGGTTCTTCAAAATGAGCCTCATTCAAAGCACTCCTCCAGGGAATGTAGATAGATTATTTATTTGTTTTGTATCAGTTGTAATGTAATCCCAGTTAAGATTTCAGTTAATGTAAAGAGATACTTCAAATCTAAGTCAATTATGTGATGCTGAACGAATTTCTTCACTTCCTAAAAGCGCAATGATTATTTTTTAACAGGGTGAATTGGTGTTTTCCTGAATTATGAAAATGCAAAATTTTACATGGATACCTGCCGTGAAGGCTCGATACCACGGTGTGCTTCATATAGGCATCGGTGGCTAATGAACGCCTCATTGGAACTCCAAGGAATTCTGGCGATACCAACTGAAGTTTTATGTTTGGACACAACTTCCCCCTTAGTGAGGAGCGAAGCCTATCTAATACCTCTGCTGATCTTTAAGTCACAGCACCCGGTTGGAAAATGCGACTTCATATCAATCAATGTAAGTTTGACTTTTAACCACAACCACCACGACATTCCCTTTAAGGAACCAACCTCAACCATCCTCAGCAAAGCAGAAGCTTTAGGCCCTGACCCCCATGGACTTTCCTGAGTCAATGTTTAATTTTCACCAACTTCAAGCTTCACTAAAGCGAAGTTTACACCATCAGCCGACGATTTTGGACGACCTTCGGGATTTTCACCCTTCAAAGAAAAGAGACCGGTCTGAAAGTTACTTTGATACCCGCAGAAGCGACGGTACATTCTGACCATATACTATTTGGCACTCATTAAATATTTGTATATATTTTAGATTATCCCAAAATCCGTAAAGAATGATAAACTGAATCTCTTGCTGTGACCATGGTGGAATTTGTCCAGACTCATTGTCAGTCAGTTTTTATTTTTTTTATTTTCATTTTGACTGCTTGGTGTGAAACATCATAAGAAATATCGCAATTCTATGCCAAGTCAGCTGGAATTTATTGTTTCTGCATTGCAAATTGGATGCATTTTTGTAAGTTCTTTCATAAAATCTACTTTTACAGCAAATCTATATACATTCATAGAACTCTCCTTCAGCAGGGTGACTTGGAGAACATGCTTTTTCTTAGTTTAACGAACTTCTAACTTGATCCATTGAAACCATATAGAAGAAAATGGATAAATGCGATTTATTTATTTATTATTATTTATTTATTATTATTTATTTATTTATAAAATTATAAATATTATTTTTTATTCTTTTCTTTGATGCCATATTGTATTTTTATTCCTTGTAGGTCTTATATATTAACATATATCATTTTTTTTATAATTATTTGTGAATAAGTCTTTTTATTCTTTGTAGAACTTATTTTTTAAGATATATAATTTTTTTTTATAATTTTTTGTGAATTAATTATTTATGGCATACTAATAGGCAGTCAACATTTTCTACCTCAGGCTTCCTATACGTTTAGTCGGGAGGTAAAGGTCACTTTTTGATTTCTTTTTGTAGAAAATGAAATTTTTGTCGTATTAGACACTTTATAATATAGTGGCTGTAAATATAGTGATGTACCTACTAAATAAGCAATGGGGCCTTATAAAAACATGTCCATTTTCTGGGCAGTTAGTTCTATATATATATTTATTTATATTTTTATATTTATTCATTAAAAAAATATATATTTAAAACAGTATACAGTATCTTCGATTCTGGTTAGATTAGGTTAAATTGTTGCTACTACAGGTTTGTAATAATTGATTAACCCAAATTTCGAAAATATAGTCATCATAAATATTTTCTAAAAATTAAAAAAGTAAATGGCATATGTACTTAGAATAGAAAGTTTTTATAGATTTAAAAATGCATTCTTTATATTATTCACATATAGTATTAGTCAGATTCTGCTGAAAGGTTTACTATCATATTGTTCAGTTTAGGAACTCGTCTGTAAAATTGTTTGTTTATCAGTCGCTATTGCTTTCTATACATTTTTATCCAAATACTTTCACTTTGTAGTGGAAAGTACCAGGCTGAAAAGTATTGATTGTATAATACGGTATATGTATATGTGTATTTTTCAAATCAACTTTATACCAAATAACATTTGCCTGTCCCTGAATTTTCAAACTATTAAGTTATCACAGCAAGTGTAAATAGCTAAACACTTTTAAGATTACACAGATGGTTTACAAATCTATTTTGATTTGATTTTTCAATGTTATATTAAATTTTTTTATCACATTAATTTCACTTCATTTGAATTTAAGAAAAAGACTAAATTTTTAAAAAATATTAAATCTTTTCATTTTATTTTTTTTTCTTTTCAATTAATGAGTAACAAAAATTATTTAAGCAACTGGTAAATGAGCACCGGAGGGTTGGAAACCGTTTTCATCAGCAACATAGTTGACTGTGTATTTCTGACCATCCTTATCAACCCAGGAGAATGATCCATGAACAACAATAGCTTCGTGTTCAGTGCCAACATCCTTCAATTTACCATCTTCAACACGGGATGTACCATCACTGGTCTCAACACTGTAAGCAAACAATAGAAAATTAATCCATTCTATGAAGTATCCTTTTTAAGTAACTTTTTCTTCTGTAAAACTTACGCGAAGTTGTAGGATTCTGGTTGCACATCAGATTCCAACTTCAAGATTTCAACATCACCTGGGCGAGCCATGGCTACAGCGAAGAGGGCGGCTAAAACAATGACGAATTTCATTTTGTTGGATTTGTGTTGTTCCTTTGAAAGTTCAATACTTAATGGATGCTTCTGCAATGCATGTGCTTCCGTTTTATACTAAAACTGAAATTAAAATTTCTACAGAAACGAGTACATAAATAAAAAACGGACTGAAACGAAAGTTCAATGTGTGTCTTAAAGAAACCTATTTCATGTTCCAAAACTGGATTTTTTTCTATTTCTTAAACCAAAAATTTGGATTTCTAGACCGTTTTAAATTATTTTTTAAAATAATTTTTAATTTTATTGTTATTTTGCTCGCCTTGCAATTTTATATGTTCTTGCATGTTAAATGTTTTTGTTCCATATAAAATGTAGATTAACTGGTTGTATAAGATGTTCTCTAGTATTTTAAAATTTTAATTTAAATGATGCAACTTCATTAATTTTGCAGTTGTACATTTAATTAAATAGCTCATTTAAAAAGCAGAAATGAAACAAAAAAATTTTGATGAAATATATACAATAAAACTTTATTTAAATCTTTAAGACTATATGAGGTCAATGCATGATTTTCGTATATGTGAATATATACTTAATATAAGAAATAAAAGAAATGTTTCACGGTTTTCTTCCATTTCTAAAGATTATCAGCTAGTAGTTAGCTATCAAAAGAATATATCACATTAGTAAGCTTCAGAGAAGTATACCGTCTACATGTAACAATTAAAAGGTGGAGAAATTTGAACATACAGCTTAAAAACTTTCATTATACATTTAAAACTTAAGGATTGTCTTGTAAATTTACTGGGGAATAATCACGCCTATCGTAATTCTTACTTATCTGCTTTCATAAAGCAATTTACAAAAAAGTAATCTGTCTTTCATCTGCATTGAAATCATCATCAAAAATCACATGTTTTTTAAGAATAACATTCCCTTCAGGAATGTTGACAAGTTCTGATGTGTTTAAAAGTAACAAAAAATAATCAAGATTATTGACCAAAATACAAATATACCGATTGCGCTGGATACTTACACTACTTTCGTTTACACCATTGAGATTTGCGTTCAATTATAACTTTTCAAAATTTTAAATGGCGCCTAAATCGGAATGTATACAGATAATTAAGCAGCAAACCAGACTCTTCCTTTCATAAAATTCTCTCTGGCACTATTGACAGATTATTTTGATATGCTTTAGCTACCAACAAACCGAAACCAAGTGGGGCTTTGTTGGGTACTTGATGACGCAGAAATTACTCTTAACGAATGTGCTATTGCGAGCTCAAGATTGCATAGGCTGAAAATTTATAGTTAAGGCACATTTTTCGCTTAATGAATATGTCAATAAATAATAGTAATAGTAATAAAAGTAATAAATAATAGTAATAGTGTTGCAACTGGGCCGATGTGTTTTTTTCAAAATGATAAAGATGCTATCGATTTTGAATCTTAAACCCACTTGATTATCAAGTTTTTATAACGCAGGATTGAATATATGGCTATGGAAGATGTGTTTCCAACAGGACTGTACGACACAAAACAATCTACATAAGTTCTGAAATTGATATTAATTGACTTTTAACATCATATGATCTTGGCACCACTGGATCTTTTTTATAGGGTTATGAAAAGAATTTTATTTGTGGGGGCATTTCTCAAGTTAGAACTCTTTGAAATTTTTGATGATAATGCGCTAAATATTGTAAGATATCTCGTAGTGAAAATTTGAAGGAAGTTGTATTTCACATACACAAACTAAAGTAAAGAATTAATTGAAATCTCAATCACAAGTGTGTATTATTTATATTTACTTTTGGAGCTGTAGTTGTCGAAGTTGAAAATGTTGCTTGAGAGAAATTGAAGGATTAATCTACACCTTATCTTTTCAATACTTTATGTAATATTATTTATATATGTAAATATTTATGATAATATTTTGGTTCATATAATATTTCACTTTACACTATATTTTTTTTAATATTTTTCTTCGACTTTAAAGCAAATTGTTTAACCGAAAAGGAGTTGCACTGAATTACCAATAAAAGTTTACATTAAAGATGACCTAAGACGAGGGGCGCTCTGTTAGTTTACATTATAAGTTTCAAGTAATAGAACTGTTCATTTTTTGGCACAAAGTAACAACGAATTTGAGTTTTCAAAGATTGCAAATGTTTTTAATAGATAAACATATTTACTAACTATTAATATATATAATAAACAGCTCTTGGTATTTTCGTTTTTTCGATTTTAGTGTTAATTTCCAATTGGTACATTGGGTAAATGTGCACCTTCAGGCTGGAATCCATTTTCATCTGCAACATAGTTAACTGTGTAGGTTTTACCATCATCAGCTACGAAAGAGTAGGAGCCACGAACAACAATGGCGTCATCCTCAGGTCCAAGATTTTTTAATTCTCCTTGCTCTTCATGTTTGTTACCGTCACTGGTTTCCCATCTACACAAGTTTAATAAAAAGTCATTACATATGATCGAACACGAAACATCAATGTTCCACACTTACGCGAAATTATAACGATCAGGCTGAACATCGGCTTCCAAACGCAAAATTTGTGCCTTTGAAGAATCATCGACTGGTGCAGCCAAGGCAATGGCGCAGAGAGCAGCAAAAACAATAAGTAACTTCATTTTTGGTTTAAATTTCAATTTAGTAATATATTTATATATATTATAATAGTTTTTAAACGTATTTTTAGTATCCGCGTTGTGCACTTGTAAAAAACTGTTTATGGTGTGTTGCAATATTCCGATTTCATCTTCATTTTATAGTGGAAACTGCGATACTAAAATTCTGAGACGAACTATTGAAACTACGTTTTTCTTTTTAAGATTTAATCACCGTAATTACGTACTGTCTGACTTCATCAACAACTGACAAGTTCTTTAGTCAAAATAGAAAAAAGACAAAATTTTTTGGAGGTTTAAACTCTTCAAAAGCATATTTAAGGAAACATATGTTAATCACTACATGTATTTGCATTTCTGACAAATTAATCAAATTACTCATGAGTCTTTGAAGTATTGTATTTCGATAAAAATAATCTTTTTTTTTTGAAAAGCAAACAATAACTGAATTCATAAATTAATTACCAAAATTTTATGCATTCATATTTTTAGTAAAAATTAAGAAAAAATCTAGAAATGAAAACAAAAGTGAAAAACACAATTGGCGTCATGATTGATGGAGCTTATCAAACGACTTGAAGTCGAGTTGTGAACCACACTGACTGGAACTCAGTAGAAGCTAATAACTCAGCTAATGATCAGTCGCTTTAAAGTATAGTTTAAAGAAGTACTAGCAATGTTTTGTTATACTTACATAAATGTCGTATATAATACATTATTGAATCTAATAAAAAATAAAAAATGTGTTAATTTTTTAACCGAAGTTTATTTAAAAATGTTCACTTTATTCGAGATCGTATATTTTTTTATATAATACCCGCCTAAACAAAAACCCTCTAAAAGAGTATTTAACAATCATAAATCACTGTTATGTGCGAGTAAAACTTTCCTTAGGAGCTACACATAGTTAGAAACACTCCTGAAATTCTCTCCTTCGTATAAATTTAGTGGATCTTTAAAGAGTGCTGAAAATGAATTTTAGAAGTGTTTAAAAAGTGTTAACAGAAGTGCGAAGAAAACAGAGTAATATTAATTTTTGTATTATTATTATTAAATAGTTATTAAATAATCTTAAATATTTTTTTAATTTCACACAATAATATACTAAACCACTTAAATTTTAATACCATTTGGTTTTCCAAAATTTTTCAGGAAATACAAATGAATTACGTGTTCAGACCCTCGTCCTGTTAATAAACTATTTGATATTCCCAATTCAAACAATAATATAAGATTATGATCAGTGCAACTTTGTGTTCTGAGCACATTTCTGAAATGTTATCCTTAGGGAATCCCCCCTTAAGACGCCTTGAATTAAGAATGAAATACTGTGTTTATATGATAAAGACTTCTACATATAAATTAAATAAAATAGCAGAGATAGAAACATCATATCCTCATCGTCGTTAAACATGAAAATTCTCTTCATTTATACAAAAAAGTATATTCTCGGTAATTAGCATAAAAAATTAGATTGTTTTTTAATTGCATTTATATACATGTCTATAATATTTTAAAAACTATATGATAGTAATCATAAATATAGGTATGTACACAGAGTAGAAATAAAAAGGGTACCGACTCCTGACGGTGTAGTATACTCTTATCATATATGATACTATGTATAATATATACATTATATTGTCATTCTTATTCTTATTAATTGCAACATATACATATTCTTATATATATATATATATGTACAATATATAATATATACATTATATTGTCATATTGTATATACTTACATATGTAATGTCTTTTTGTTTGTTCGAATTTTTTTTCTTTTTGTATTGTTTTTAGCAACTCTTTCCTTTTTTGTAGTTTTAAGAAACATGCTACCTTCTGTAGTTATTTATCTTTCGAGTCGTATAGAGTGCTCTTCCACTAGTTATGTGATTTTTAAGATATTCCAGAGCAATTTTTTTTTGAAGTTGATGAATTTATGTTGATTTTGGTTTTTTGTGGTACAAGCATAAGTTTACTATTATAAGACTATAAAATGTCGTTTTACTATATATTAATATATTAATGCATACAGAAAGTTTTGATCTTTGCCCGATGAGCTAGTCCATATATGTAACGTATAGCTTAATTTCACTTTGTTTAATTAATGTGTACTTCCTTCCATCTTAGCTTACTATCAAAAGCCAAAACAAGATACTTTGCATTATTTCCGTAAGGAATTTGGGAGCGTAGTAGTGTTATTGGGAGCTAATTAAATTTTGGCTTAGTGATGTTCATATGAACTGATTTATTCTTATTAATTTTAGTTCCTAAATTATCGCTCAGTATTCTACTGTGTCTATAGCAGTTTGTAGCTTAGTTCGCTTTTCTTTAGCTAATTTTCATCTAATTTTCAAAGGTGGCAAACATGATGTTCGGGGGACGTCATATAGATTTTGTGAACAAAAGATTTAAAAAGAGATACTCTCTTTAAGGCGCCTGCTTTTATTTTTTCTACGTTGGTGTACAGAACAGTTTTGAAATATAACCATATTGTAGAAATACTTATTTAAATATGCAATATATTATAATGATTATAACAAATACTTTAAATCACACGAAACCCTTTGCATTCATGAATAGGACATCCACTTAAAAATGTTGGATGTTTTCTAATCTTGGATATAAGTTACATAGGGAACAGTTCTTATTTCTTTGCTTAACTAAACATAACTGCTCAGTCTATGGTTTCAACATTTACATAACACGTACTGAAATCTTGCTTCTAGTAAAATTATTGCTTTCTAGGCTGTTCTTGGTTGATTACAACATAATCTATGGCTTTTAGTATATTATCTAGCTATTTATCGCTTTTCGAATTTTATTACAAACAAGTGTTTACCGCTTATATTTCTAATGTAGCTTATATTTGTTTTAGTAATTACTCTTTGAAAGTAGATTTTTATTATAACAACAGTAGCATTCGTTCCAGTGTGACATTTGAGCTATTAAGGTAATGTTTAATAATCATGAACTACATATCAGTTTCGGTTTACATAAAATAATGATGGATTATATGTTCTTAAACACCTTCCAGCTGTATACACTATACGCTATAGATAACACAGTTCCAAAACACAGTTCGATGTTTATTATTAACTGGGCATATTTGGGCAGAAATAATTTCTTACCTTCTATATCTACTAAAAATAAACACATTCATTTATTTACTAAATCAATATCTGTATTTTAATTATTATGAATTATTATGAATGCATTTATATATTCTGTCATTAATTATTTGATAAATTCATATTGCCTGCTGCTGGTGCAATTACTGGTAATATTGCAGTTCAAGAAGCCTCTATTCTTGCAGATGAACTTGTCTTAAATGTTACTTGCTTATCACTAGCAGTAGTCCAGAGCTTCTTTATGTATTTAACAACTAATTAAGTTTCTTAATTTATATTACGCAGTGGTTTAGAGTGAAATTTGCATTTCATTTGAAAGCATATAAAATGCACTTGCCTTCGGTTTGGAAATTATTTCAACAGTGCAATTGTGATTGCACGTACAAGATTCAACTCGGTTCAAATAGATTTCCGTCGCTATGAAACTGGTAGGAAACAATATTTAAGCATTATGACTTCATAAGGATTAGAACTCATATTTACTTTATTTTCAGCTACATTGTCTAACACTCATTGCTGTTATAGCCGCGGTCTTGGCTGCACCACAAGGAGACACCGAAATTTTAGAAAACTCTGTGGAAAATATTGGAATTGGCGGTTATAGTTTTTCGTATGTTATCATATAATTTAATTTTTTTCAGCATTTTGTTTAAATTTATTATTAATTGTAATTTCATAAATTTTTTTTCATTAATCAAATAAATTTTATTGTTATTTGTAGATATAAATTGAGTGATGGCACTACGCGTACCGAAGAAGCTGTACTGAATAATGCGGGCACAGACAAGGAATCGATTTCAATAACTGGCAAAGTTACCTGGGTGGCACCTGACGGTCAAACTTATACACTCACATTCGTTGCGGATGAAAATGGCTTCCAACCAGAAGGTGCACATATACCTAAGTGAAGTCTCAACTACAAAGGTACTACGGAAAAAAAGTAAATATAAAACGAACTCAATAATATTGTGTACAAAGATTTATGAAAAATAATAAAGTCGGTGTCATTCAGTCAGTGTAAAAAATGTCTTTTATCGATATTGTTTAGATAATAATTATTTAAATATTTAATTCGTTATTTTTTAATTAAACGACAATTGTCAACGAAATCAAACTCTTTTCCTTCAGTTAAGCACTCATAAAAAATATAAAGACAAATTTTGCAAAGAGAAATTCCTATGAAGAAGAATATTAAATTCTATAGATTTATATAAAATAGAAAACTAATTAATAATTTAATATTGAGGATAGAATGCAAAAGACTAATGTAGCTTTGCATATCTATATAAGAAGTGTCGATATAACGTGAACCGTAACTCCACATTCCACATAGTCAAACGTTTCCTACTATTTGGTAATTTAGTTGGTCGCCATACATTCGAAAAGATTAACGCTTATTATGATTGACCTTATTAAAATCGAGATTTTTTCCAATGCATTCATCGAAGCTTTCCAAAATAACCTTAAGTAAGGCATTGGAAGTGCTTCTTAATAGTGCCTTTAACAGTAGCGGTGAGATTAAAATCCATGACATTATGGTGTGATTAGAAACTGGGTCATTCTTCTATCATGAATAACTATAGCAATTGTATGCGAATAACCGATCACACCTGTTCGACACTTCTATACAAACCATGTCAAACCCAACAACAAAAATTTTGGCTTTGGTATTTTCTCAAAGAATATAGGACTGAAGTTTGCTTCATTGACCGCTGTAGTGTTTATCAAACAGAGATGTTAGCAAAGTTATAGCGTATTTAACTAAGCAAACACATGATTATTAAAACAACGATAAATATATACTAGGTTAGCCAGTAGGTTACCTACTGGGATAGTTGGTGTTAAAATCAAAGGATGCTTAGGATTGTTAGGCACTGCTGAACTATATAATTTTTTTAGGGTTTGTCTAGTATAGGTACCGGGTCATGACGATATTGAAGGAACCTGTGGGGTCGATGAAATAAGCAGATGGGTTACAAATCTTTCCTTGGTTGTAGATGGAAACGATCTCCAAGTACATGTTGCTATTTGTTATTTTGTATTGAAGAACAGCGTCACTCAAAAACCTGAAGTGTGAAGTATAGATAAATGTGATAGCAAAATGATGGAAAATAATTAAGGGACGTTCTCAGCTTACTAAGAGCGTATACATCTTAGGTATTGGCTTATATAACTGGTCACTGGTTATTTGTTAGACGAGATCTTAGGTTAGGAATGACTTCTCATGAATATTGCAGAAGTTGTAAAGATGGAGAGGCGGCTTTAGAGAAGAAAGTGGAGCACCTCTTACTAGTACCAAAGCAACATTTTTAGGTGTTAAACTATCTTTAACTCTGTTTTATATTAAGATCAAACACAGTTTTCACTTCACTAAAGTATTGAGATGTTAAGTGTTGGTATCACAATTAAGTGTGTAGACTTATTGCCTCAATAACGAATGATGACATATTTTTTCGAAGACGGTCCACTATCGGATGTAAAATTTGTGCACAATTTCTTTTTCTGCAACTATCGGAGTATTTTTTGATTACTGTTCAATTAGTCAGTAATTAGAAATCTTTTGTAACGATTAACTTAATAAGTAGTCGTATATGTTAATTATAATTTGTGAGACATTAATTAATTTCCCGCTCTTTGCAATTAATGAAATTCCATATTTAAGGAAGATAGTTAGAGTTGAACAATTACAATACTATAAGTCAGCCATTATCATTCCGCAGTTAGCTTCACAATATTTTGGGCCAGCTTGTGTAGAATATGGTTGTGTTTGAAATTGTTAATTTCACTCATATGTTAATAAAATATTTTTTTTGTTTTTTTTTTTATATTTTTTTTTCAATTTCGTAACAAAAAACTTTAACACCTAATTAAGTTCACATCACTATAAACTTAAGCTTCTGGGGCAACTGGCAAGTGAGCGCCTTGTGGTTGGAAACCGTTTTCATCAGCAACATAGGTGACGGTGTAGGTTACGCCATCATCACCAACGAAACTGTATTTGCCTTGTACGCTGATGGCTTCGTTTTCGCTTCCAATGTTCTTGAGTTGACCTTGTGCATCAGCAGATTGACCATCGCTGGTTTCGTACCTGTAATTAGAGAATAATTGTTAGCACTAAAGGTTGATAATTCCATCTCAGCAGAATTTCTTTACTTACACATAGCTGAAGGATTCGGGTCCAACTTCGGATTCTGAGCGCAAGATTGTGGCTTCCTCTGGACGAGGAGCAGCCAAAGCGACAGCGAAGAGAGCGGCGAAAACAATAACGAATTTCATTTTGTTTTTGGTGATTTTTGGTGCGTGCTTGACCTGTTGTCTGTAGAGCTTGGAAGGTGTATGATTGACAGAAGCCGCGACAATAGTTTTTATAGTGCGTGCGATGTGCGTAAATGCTCAACTTAACTTGCGAACTGGTTTAACATTTTAATAGAGCAAAAGCCGATGTTTTATTAATTCTAGTATACATATACATATTAACACCTATTAATTAATTAATTTTTTTTTAAACACTTTTGAAAACTTATAATGTTTCAAATTTAGCAAACATTTTACAACAATAAAAACCAACGCAGATAAGCCAAAAATCAGCAAAAGTTAGGATGATATGAACTTGAGACGAATGAGAAAATCTTGTTTGTTTTATTTTTAGAAGACTAACGTGGATTTAGCATATTAATGATATACACGATTGATATATAGTTACATATCTTAAAGTTTTAATATTGCTTACATACATATATATGATTTAATATGTAGAAAAACGTGAAAATTTCAAAAGTTATACCGAATTTATTAATAAGTTTATTATAGTTTTAATGTTGAAGTTTAAGAAGAAGTACTAATTAATACAATATTTCAACACATGTTTGTAGTAAAGGCTATATTGATTCTTGATGTTTAGAAGCTGCTAGAAAAGTCAAAGTTATAGCTTTTACAACAAGACACAGAGTTAGCGCTGGCATCATGTAGATCATTTCGGACACCAGACATCGTTACAACGACTAATCTTAACGGATGAAACAAGTTTACAGGACAAAAAAATGCTAATACCCTCCGATTTAAACAGCATGTCTTTGGAAGTGTACTTCGATTTCATAATTTGGAAGTGTTATTTATTGCAATTTTGAATCTCAGAATACAATTTGAATCTAACTTATATTTAAGCTCACACGATAAACTGTAAGTAGTAATTTGTTATTTTGAATAATAAGTAATAACTTTATAAACTTAATAAACTAGTGAGAGGAATATAATAATGAGCCGAATAAATTCCTGAAAGAAGATGCTATGATTGAATTAAAGTAGAAGTAAAAACTGAAATCGGCTAGTGATATTATAAGAATACAAAAATCATTCTTATAAGAGAATAGACAAAAATTTACGAGAATAAAATCGGCTAGTGATATAAGAATACAAAAATCGTTCTTATAAGAGAATAGACAAAAATTTACGAGAATAAACTCAAAAATAGGACTTCGGCCCTTTAAAAGCATATTCTGCAAGAGAGAAGAAGATGAACTAGTCTTCAACGGTTACTTCCTGCATTATCAGTATTTGGTTTTGATCTTATAATCAAAATATATTGCTTAACTCGTTAACTATGTTACTAATATTATCTAAGACTGGAGTAATCTCTACAAGAAAGAATTATTAAACTAGTTTACCCTTTTTTAATATAATTACATGAGCGAAATATGTAGTACAATATGTTTTAATTAACAATATAATTAAAATAATACTCATCAATAGTAACATTTAAAAATAAGTTGAGAAAATTCTTACATAAAAATCTGAATCTAAAATCATTTACTGATTTTTGTGAATTTATAATCAAATATGTAATATAAATATGTGATGGATTAGGTTTCTTAATTGAATTTACTTAATAAAAATTCTACGACTGACTCACCATAAACAATCCCAAATGCCCACAATAATTTTAAAATAAAACTAATTTGTTTAATATTTAAAAAATTTGTCTTTATAAAAAAATTAAAATTACCATAAATATTAATAGTGGCGCAATAATAATAATTTATTTAATAATAATTCATTTGCGGTTTTTCATTCTTATGTAGATAACGTTAAAAAAAAGAATTTACTTGAAACCTGCATAGCTAAAGTTTAATTCAAATAAATAAGTTATCTTGTTGTATCTGCAAAATTTAATAATTAATATTTTTTTAATTATTATATTATTCCGATATATTTGTAAATTAACTATAAACAGATGTGGTTATGCTTCTCTCATGCTTTACTGACTGAAACAGACTATCAAATACAAATATAAACTCAGAATATAATTTAAACTATAACAGTTCAGTTTCTTAGGCAATGCCAATATGTATGTAACCTATTACAATGCATTCTAATTTTTTCCTGAAACTTGAAATCAATCATTTATCAATCATTTAACAAGTTTACTATTATAGCTGCTTTATAGTAAATATTGATCTAAGTTGAATTAAATCACACTCCCAAATTTTAATACATAAATTTTGTAATAACCATCGTCATCTCTGAAACTCTGATTAGTCTAATCGAAAAACCTACGTGTGTTCTCTAAATGAGTCAATCCAAAATTCATTAATGAAATTGTAAAATAAGTAATCAAATATTTTGTTAAATATTCTTATTTTTTCAGCCATAAGTCGAAATTATTTGCTCTCTACAATATTCTCAAATAATTGTTCAAATTAGACGTATGTTACTTTACAAAGTTTTGGGGTCACTATTGGCACTTCTCATTTAGCTACAGACTAGTCGAATATGAGGGAGCAATAAAGTCGAAACTGTGAAAAGGCAACACCTGAATATTTTAATCGCAAATACTTAAAGAAAGACCTTTAGACAAATCTTCAACTAAAAGACTCCACTAATGTGCCATTTGGACATCCGAAATACATATTTTTCAATAATAAAATTATTTAATAATCATAATGTAAAGATTTATAAGTTTTAGTCTCATATTCCAGCATTTGATGACAAAACCGAACTACCATAAAATGCAATCCAACCTATAAGT